CTTTTTAATTTTCCATGCATGTAGTACAGGTCATTTATTAAACATTAAATTCTTATCTTTCCTGTAACTCCTGTTCATTAGTATAATGAACACTAATACTATTTTTTAAATTTTTATTTATTGTAATATGTTAATTGTACAAAGAAGTTTCACTGTGACTTTTCCATAGTATATAATATACTGTGATCAAACTCACCCCATCTGGACCTAGAGGGAGGTGGAAAAGAAGAAGTGAATGCTTATATCTGTGTATGAAGATGGCAACAAAACACACTGAAAGCTGTTGAATAATGGGGCTGGGGTTGGAGGGATGAAGGGGGTGCTGTTTCTTATGCTCCCTCCTTGCCAGAGCGAGGTCTTCTCTCTCGCTCCTTGGTTATTACTGGACCTAACTGGGCTTAAGTGGGGGCAACTGGAGATTTTAGAGAAGATATAGGATAGACAAACAGAAATTTGGGATCAGGTGTGTTGTATGCTTGGCTGGAGATGCACAACCCTCATTGATGTTTTTTTTCTATCTTGATTCTTTAAGGCTTTGTTCCTTGCAGTTCTTTAAAACCTTGCTTCTAAAGCCTTCTTTAAAACCTTGCTTAAAACCCCTTTCCTTAGGCTTGCTCTGTCCAATGTTTGCTCTTAGCTTATCTTTAGCTTAATTGCTCTTAAAAGTCTTTTTGCCCCCAGGCTTGCACTGTCCCATCTCTCTTTAGCTTTCTCAAAGCCTCCATGCTCAAATTTGCAAACAGCTGTGCCTACAACCTACATATGCATAACTATTAAAGTCTTGGTCCTGAGACTTGCACTGTGTACTGTCCCTGTTATCTCTGGTTTTTCTTTATCTTTGGCTTTCCTAAGGCCTATGTATGAAGTTCTTTCTCAGCTTTGCTTTCTGAACCCTATGTAAAGGTCTCAGTTCAGACTTTCTATCAACCCCTTTAGCATTTTCCCTTCAGCGATTGTTCCCTTTTCCCTTTGGCATTTTTCCCTTCAATGATTCTTTTCCCTTCCCAAAGTTTCCCATACCAAAAGGCCCAAAGTAAAGCCCCAAAAAGCAAAAGGCAAAAACCAAAGCCCCTCTTCCTCCTTCAGGGGTTTTTTATAGCAGCAAGCCGGGTGGAGCCATGGGGAGGGGCATGACATTGTAACGGGAGAAATCTGCGTTCCTGCTTCTCTGAACACAACTTAGGAGACACATCTGTTCTGCCTTTCCCTGGTTCGTGGCCGAGGGCTGTGCCTATCTTAGCCTATAGGTAAAAGCAATTAACTGCATCTCGCCTTGCTTGTGTCCAGTTCTCACAGGCTTTAATCCTCTCCCCACAGAGGGATAGAGAAAGAGTAATAGAAGGGATTAATCTGATTATAAAGTATAATGTATACATATGTGAAATACCACAGTGAACAATTAATATACACTTAAAAATGAAGGACAGGAAGGAAAAACAGATCCTATGTGGGGTTGTATACCAGTGGGAGGAGAGAAGTTGAAGGGAGAGGATGAATATGATCTTTATGAATTCGTACTTTATATACTATATGAAAATAGAACAATGAAACCAATTAAAATTGTTTTCAGAAGTGTGAGAGAGAAAGATGGGTGAATTTCATAAAGATACATTGTAAGCACATATGGAAATATCACAGTGAAACCCTGCTGTTCAACTAATACATGCTAATAAGTCAGGGAAGGCCAAAAATATTTACTTACCTCCGTCCTTTTTCAACATTTTTTTTACATTATTATTATTTGGGGGTGTGTGGTCCTGGAGTTTAAACTTGGCCTCATGCTTGCTAAGCAGGGGCTCTACCATTTGAGCCACCCTGCTAGCTCTTCTTTGTGTTGGGTGTTTGTGAGATGGCATCTCAAAAACTCTTTTCCTGGGTTGGCTTTGATCTCTGCTTCCTGAGAAGGAAGCACTACAGGAATAGGAATACAGGCGTAAGCCACCAGTGCCTGGCTATATTACTTAATAATTGTGTTGGTGGTACTGGGATTTGAACTCAGAGTCATGAGCCTGCTAGGGAGGTGCTCCATAACTTGAGTCATGTGTCATGAGCTTCCTAGGCAGTGCTCTATAACTTGAGCCATGCCTGTAGTCCTTTCTAAACAATTTCAGTGGGTTTTGTTACTGCATTTTCATTCATTAATGTGTTTTCATACATGTGATGAAGTAAATTGATCATATTCATTGGTCCTCACTTTCTCCTTTTACCCTCTCCCCTACTGGTTCTCCACCCTCAAGGAGTCCTGATTTTACATTTGTGTAATTTTTTTTCCTACTCTAGATTCTGTATATGACAGAGAAATTGCAATATTTGTCTTTTTCAGTATGGCTTATTTCACTTTACATGATAATCTTCACTTCCATAAAATGTTGGAATATGTGATTTCATTTTTATGATTGAATAATATTCCGTTGCATACTCTTACCCATTCATAGGGTGATGGCACCTAGGCTGATTCAGTAGTTTGGCTGTTGTGACTAGTGCTGCTGTAAACAGGGGTGTGCAAATACTTCTGTTGTGTGCTGACTTACATTCCTTTTGCCCATATATCCAGGAATGGTATGGCATGATCATATTCTATTATTTTTGTTTTCTTGGGTTTTTTTTTTTTTTTTGAGGAGTTCCATAGTTGTTGCACTAATTTATATTCCCACCATCAGTGTATAAGGGTCCCTTGCTTCCCAGGAGAAACCGTGATCCTACTGGTTTCAGCCTCCCAAACAGGTAGGATCCCAGACATAAGCCACCAGTGCTTATCTTTGTTTTCTTGATGCTTACCATTCTGACTCTGGTGAAAGGGAATCTGAGTGTTATTTTTTATTTGCATTTCCTTTATGGCTAAGTATGTTGATCTTTTTTTTGGTGGTGGTACGTGCTGGTGTCGGTTGCAGGATGGTGTCGAGGGTCCTCGCCTTCACAGGCCAGAGAACTGGCTCATGAGGCAGCTGAATGATGAGCCAACGCCGGTATATAAAGTAGGATTTATTAGAGAGAAGGGAAAGGCTATAGCTAGAGAAGAGTAGCAGAGACCAGAAGCCAGTAGCTCCCTGCTCAGGTGAAAGCTGGGGCTTTTTAAGGACGCTTTAACTCTGGTTAGTGTATCAGGTGGGTTTTTCCTATTGGCCATGTATTTGCATGGGGGCCCCCTTAGATGAGCTGATCTGTTTGCCCTTTATTGGGGGGGAAAACAACATTGGGAGCATTTTGTTTCTCAGTCCTGTGGCAGATTTGTGGGACCCTGTATCTCTTCCTGGCAGATTTGGGAGACCCTGTCTCTCTTCCTCAGGGTACAGGAATGCAGGTTTATAACTCCCTCTCAGGGTGCAGGAATGCAGGTTTATAACTCCTTCTCAGGGTGCAGGGCTCATGGGGTCTTCATGGGGGATGGGCTACTTACTCATCTGCCTTAGGTATCCAGACCCAACAGTGGCATGAATCATTTATTTTGTTTGTTTTAGTGGGACTGGGATTTGGGGTTTGAACTTGGGACCTCAGCTTGCTAGGCAGGCACTCTTACCACTTGAGCCACTCCACCAGCCCTAAAGAAAAGCTTTACTTATTTTTTATTTTTGGTGGTACTAAGGTTTGAACTCAGAGACTCACACTTGTTCAGTAGGCACTCTGCCAGCCTTTTGTTGAACATTTCTTGATGTATATTTTGGGCATTTCTACTTCTTTTGACAACTGTCTGTTAAGTTCATTAGCCCATTTATTAATTAGATTCTTTATTCTGTTGATGTTTGATTTTTAGGGCTCTTTATATACCCCAGATATTAATCTTTTAGCTGGCAAAGATTTTCTCCCATTCTGTAGGTTGTCTCTTCATTCTAGTACTTGGTTTTTGCTCTGAAGAAGCCTTTTAATCCCAAATGTCAGTTCTTACTCTTATTTCCTATTAGAAAGTTATTACCTATGCCTATACCTTCAAGAGTTTTCAAAAACTCTAATATATTCAAAGTTTTGGGTCTTACATTAAGATCTTTGAATTATTTTTAATTTATTTTTGTACAGGGCAAGAGAGAAGGGTCTAGTTTTAGTCTTATACATACAGATATCCAGAACATTTGTTGAAAGGGTGTTTCTTCTTCAGCATATGTTTTTGGTGCCTTTGTTGAAAATCAGATAGCTGTTTCTGTGTGGTCTTATTTCTGAGTCTTTTGATCTTTATTGAGACATACATTACATAAATTACAACTTACCCATTTAAAGTATGAAACTTAAAAGTATGTAAAAGTATGAATTTTTAGTATATTTATAGATGTGTGCAACCATCAACACAGTGATTTTTTTTTCCCCAGTGAGTATGAGGGATCAAATCTAGGGTCTCACATGTTAGGTATCACTGTATCACTGATCTACCCTCTGACCTCCATAGTGAATTTCAGAACATTTTTCTTTATAGATTCTATAAGTATTTTAGGTAAAGAAGATTATAAAAATGGAATCCACATAGAACTTCTAGAAGTACTTTTTAGTACTTGTGGCAAACTTGCAACTTGATATAGCTATTTATTTGTCAGAAGTGAATTCCATTCTGCCCACTAACTGGAGGAATGAAAAGTTGCTTGTATGGTGGCATTTTGGAAGTAGGGAAAACCGATAAACTGTTTCAGTAGAGGAAACTTTTTACTTGATAAAAAATAGTATTACATTTCTCTAGACTCTCGTTATAAAGTGTTTCTGATCTTGAACAGAAGTTTGTGGTTGTCAAAAGCCAACTGTACTTTGAGGCTTAGTTTGATAAAAATGATCTTTCAGCCCTTGGTATCTGATTCTGCATGTAATATACATCACTGTTTTTATGTTTTTCTTACTTAGTGTTCTGCAATTTTTCTGATGGTGTTTTTGTTGTGTTACTTTTTCTCTCCAGTAGAGTGCTGAGAATTCAGAGGTGAATTTTTGTTTTTTGAGTGCCCTTCCATGTCACCTAGTGAAACACACACCTGACAAATTCTTGATTTTAAATTAATGCAAACTTCTCTCCCTTCTCTGGACTTTAGGCACCATAGGCGAGTGTTAGTGGAATGGCTAAAGGATCCATCTCAGGAGCTTGAGTTTATTGCTGATATTCTTAATCAAGATGCAAAGAATTACCATGCCTGGCAACATCGACAGTGGGTCATTCAGGTATTGCCTTTGTTGTTACAGTGCTTTTCAGATTTTTACTTTTTAATGGAATTAAATAATTAAAATTACTTTTAAACTCTAGATATACTTGTGAACCAGAACACACATGTGTTATCTTCCTTTATTTTTACCATCACTTGTAAAATCAGAGACCATCATAGTGAAATTCTTACTGTTTTGCTATTATCAAATAAGAAATGAAGCTCCACTAATTTTTTCACAATGTCCCAACTTCTGCAGTATTTTTAAGTTTTTTACGGCCCCAACCCCCAAACTGGTTTTTTTTTTTTTATTAAAACAGCTTTATGAAGGAACAAAAACTAAATCTGAATCCAGTTGTGTATATTTCTCCACATGTATATGTATTTTGAGTAATTTTAATCATGTGTGTGCATCTTTAAGGTTGCTTTCTTAATGTTATGTATTAATATAGTTACTCATTCTCTTACTGGTGAGGTTGGTGGTTTTTCCCTTAAATTTTATTTGATGACTTCTTTGCTGTTTTCAGTTTATAATCTTCCCAAGATCTATCCTCAATTTCATTCTTTTATCCCCCTCTGTTTCCTTAACCTGCAACTATCACTTCTTAAATCCATTGTCTTCACTTCTACATTTAATTTTGCTGATTTTTATAAGTGGAACATTCCTAATTGGATTTTGTTTCAACTTTCTTTTAGGAATTTAGACTTTGGGATAATGAGCTGCAGTATGTAGACCAACTTCTCAAAGAGGATGTGAGAAATAACTCTGTCTGGAACCAAAGACACTTCGTCATTTCTAATACCACTGGCTACAATGATCGTGCTGTGTTGGAGAGAGAAGTCCAGTTAGTAATGTCCTTCACTTAGTCCTTCATTTAAAATTTGTATTCCTACCATGCCACAGGCATTGGAAATACAGCAAAGATGACTGTCCCATGGAACTAAAATAGGACAAATTAATGGGGATGAAACATACAATGATAAATGTAGAAATAATGTAGTATTCCTCTGTGTTGCAGTGTCTTAAGTTTCTTGACAGACTGTTGCTACTAGAGATTGAAAAGCAATCAGATTTCATAATGTCAGGAAGCTTTTCATGAAATGTTACTAGATTTTAGGTAATAGTTCCCAGATGCCTTGTTCTAGTGCAGGATTTTGGCACTGTACCTTGTGTAGAACTTTGCACTGTAGGTAAGTTAGCAGCACTGGCTTTAAACAGAAATGTCTTCAGACATTGCCAAATGTCCCTTTTGGGGCATAGTCACCCCTATTTGAAGGCCACTATACAAAAAGCTATTTATAAGAACTAGACATGAATTAGTATTTTATATTCATAAACACTCTTTTCTAACCTTATTTGTCTATTTTGTTTCAGTATTTGTTTCATAATTTGAATACACATGACTTTTAAAGCCTGATGACAGCATACTTAAAATTTTAATTATAAAAGTCTTAACTGCTGCTGGGAAGAGGTGATTTTTATGACACCTCTGCCTGTCATCTCTTGTCCTGTGTCTGCTGAGATCAGGGCAGCTAGTTCTCCAGTATCTGTTCTATATGTAAGGTTCTAATGATTTTTTTTTTTTTGGTTGTTTTTTGTTTTTGTTTTGGTAGTATTGAGATCAAATCCAGGACCTCACACTTCTAAGCAGTTTCATTACCACTGAGCTGCTGCCACCTCAACCCCTATGTTAAAAAAAGAAAAAAATTTTTTTCTTCTAGTGTCCTCTACTCATTCTGTGCTCCACATCATGTTTGGAGCTGACTCACCCCTCATGCATACCTATGCTTGTTTTCTGGTGCTCTCCCACCTGAAGCTGCTCTGTCTAGTATCCAGCCTGAAGCCACATATAACTGTTTAAATTCTAGTGAACTAAAATAACATAATACACTTTCTGAGTCACACTTAGTTGCATTGTAGGTGTCAATATCCACATGGCTAGTGACTACCATATTGGGCAGCATAGATAAATAGTCTTTCTAGCATCATAGGATACTCTAATGGGAATTACTGAAGTGACATTTTTATATACATAGAGAGAGATAGACACAGACAGGGTTTCACTGGTCTCATGTGCACCTTGAACTCACAGTTTTCCTGCCTCAACCTCCTGACTTTGGGATTACAGGAGTACAATACCCTGCCCACCATATTTATTTGTAGCTAGCCTGAATAATGGAGCTTAAATAGAGAAAATTCAAACTTCTCTATTACCCTTCCCTATTACCTTTTTTTTGTTGTTGTTGTTAGAGGTTTTTTTTTTTGGTTTTTGCCAAAAGGCAGAAAACTTCAGGTTACTCTACCTTGAATTGATCCTATTAATAGATAATGGATTTCTAATGTGAAAAGTTTGGAAAATTCACACTTCTCTTTTAACATTTAAGAGCTAGATCACTGGCTGTCTAAGACCTGCAGAGACATTGTTTTATAAATAACTGAAAGCATTAGATCAAGTAAAAGTTGTTGGACTAATCTTGTTATAATGGTGTATGAATTTCTGTGAAGAAAAAAAAGTCCTTTCTTAATAGCCTTGCAACAAGACCATGACTGCTAACTTTTAGTCAGCAGCTTCTTTATCTTTGCAAGTACCTGGTAAAGCACAGTTCTGTACTTCCTTGAAATTTGTGGCAATTTGGGTATGAATTTTACTTAATAATCAGGTTAAAGCGAAGAGAAACATGTAGGGAGTATCCATCTTGGGAATTGCTTTGTAGTTTATTAGTAATTTTGTTTTAGAATATATAAATATATACTAGTGTTCATTTTTATTTGTATCCTTTATCTAGATGATTTCAATGATTTTTTTTTAAAAAAAGGTTCACAACTTTACAACACTGAACTCAAGGCCTCATGCTTGGTAGGCAGGTGCTTTACCACTTGAGCCATATACCCAGCCCCTTTTGCTTTAGTTATTTTTTAGGTAGAGTTTGCCCTTTTTGACCAGGCTGGCATAGACCCTCCTGTATAGCTGGGATAATAAGCATATGCCACCATGTCCAGCTCTTTTGTTGAGATGCGGTCTCAGTAACTTCTTGACTGGACTAAGCCCATGGTCCTCCCAATCTCTGCTTCCTGAGTAGCTAGGATTATAGATGTAAGCTGGCCAATGTCCAGGCTATTTTTTATTATCACTTCAAAGGTTATGTTACTTAGCCTTTTCCAGTGACTAAGGATTTGTTAGGTGCTTCCCACCCCTAAGGTTGCCCCCCAGATGAAAGGAAAGTCTGTTTTAGTTAACGTTTCGTTCGGAAGGAAGAACCTTACACATTCATTTCTTTTCCAGTTGTGCATGGAAGCTAACATAAGTTAGTTCAGTGTTCTTCCTCAGAATTGGACACAAAAATACAGGAGGGACGAACTATGTAAATAAGGGTTGACAGATACAGACCCAGGGATTCTCTGGTTTAATTTTGAGAGAGAATGGAGCATGACACAAGAAAAGTACATGTCCAGAGTGTGCCACAATCTTGTTGAAGTGACATCTAAGCCTTGCGCTGCTCTTTTAAAATTACATAATTCCTTTGTTGGGTTTTTTCTTACAGGTACACTCTGGAAATGATCAAACTAGTCCCACATAATGAAAGTGCATGGAACTACTTGAAAGGGTAAGAGGTTGTTTTTCACTGGTTTTATATAAACTGTTGATATATGCATCATGGAATATGTTCTATAACCAGATTCTAAAAGGACACTCAAGAATTTTTCTGGATTTCTGGATAGAAGCATAACAGGGTTATGTACTTGCCAAGAGTTCCCTCTATCCTTCTCTTCACTTGCCAAGAAAATAGCAACACTGTTTATAACAGTGGATGTGGAAACAATACATTTTTAATTGTATTTAGGCAATGAAGTACAATGTGTGTAGGGTAGTGTGGGGTTTTTTGTTGTTGTTGTTGGCAGTGCTGAGTCCTGTGGTGGTCATATATACTCAGGTGCCTAGCTCAGGCATACAGAGAAGCAGGGTAGACTGTCTGCAAACAGACTGCACAGATGCGTAGCTACCCGTTCTGCCTTCATTGCTAGGGATCAGTATCAAAGGTCTCACTTGCCTGACCACTAACATAGCCATGATTCTTGTTGAACATCGAGGCCTTCAAGGAAACATGCTCAAAAAGCAGAGTGTCATGTTTGGAGATGTGTCAGGGATGGAGGCCTATAGTCACTGGAGAGTTGAAGAGATGAGAAACCTTTTAAAGAAACAGACATTTCTCCTGCCTTTTTTTCACTATTTAATTTTGAAAAGATTGCTTTCTGCTTTAATTTTGCACATACACAGTTTGAGTTATAAATGTTCACATTTAAACATTTTTCAAACGAATTTTACTCAGCTCAGGTTTTTTTGGTGGTACTGGAGTTCGAACTCAAGGCTTCACACTTGCTAGGCTGGCACTCTACCAATTGAGCCACTGTGCCAGCCTCTCAGATAATTTAAAAATTTTCATTTCATTTAAGCCTCATTCATTCAAAATAAGTCTCCTGAATTTGGGCATGGTTCAAGGAATAGACCATTTGTTTGCCTAGCAAGCTCAAGGCTCTGAGTTCAAACCCCAGAACTAACAAAAAAATAAAGAAGTAAAATCTCCTTTCTCCTTTGTGTTTCAGGTTTTATTTTCTCTTTATTTTTCTACTATACTTCTCTTAAAATTAAATAGTATTTGTTTTGTTTTTTAGGATTCTGCAAGACCGTGGCCTTTCCAGATATCCCAATCTGCTAAATCAATTACTTGATTTACAACCAAGTCACAGTTCCCCCTACCTAATTGCCTTTCTAGTGGATATCTATGAAGACATGCTAGAAAACCAATGTGACAACAAAGAGGACATTCTTAATAAAGCATTAGAGGTAGGGTGGTGCAACTCAGTACTTTTCTTTTTGTTACCTCAGAATTGGCTCTGCTCTGTGCCACTAAATAGTTATTCCTCCTTGCAACATTGTTACTCAGAATGCAGTACAGGGCTATTTCTGGTTGAGAGCAGCATCTGTATCACTTGTGTGATACTAGTGTGTCTCATTTGAACATGATCTAAGTTCGGTTGTGTTGTTCCAAAGGTATGTGCCCTGGAGATTGAACCATACATTTAATAAAATTTTACTTCTCATTTCAGTTGTGTGAAATCCTAGCTAAAGAAAAGGACACTATTAGAAAGGAATATTGGAGATATGTTGGAAGATCCCTTCAAAGCAAACACAGCCGAGAAAGTGACCTACCATCAAATGTACAGCAATAACGCCATCCAGAAGAACTTGCTGGATGCGTTCATTTTTTATGGGACTCTAATGTAAGAGTTTAAAACTAAAGTGATGATTCTGTAGCCTGTGGTGTAAAACACGCATTGCACAGGCATTACTTTTTAACAAGAACTAAGGATGATGTTCTGGGGTGCTGCTGCTGTTCAGACTAGCTCTAAAAAATGTGATTTATTTAAAGCAAAGTAATTGGAGGGGTGAGGAGAAGAAAAAGGCCCACAAAGAAACTGCTACATTTGTAGTCTTATCAACATTTAATCAATCCTCTTTTAACATCAGTTCTTCCCTAAAAGGTATAGGTATAAAAATTTGTGTCAGTAATGACTGCAGGTAACTTGTATGTGATGGATTTGAGGTAACTTAAATTTTGGTTCAGTAAGCAGGGAATGCAACTGTTACATTAGAGCTGCTATACCACACTCAAAGTATCTTGCTACCTACTGTAACCAACTAATGCCAAAAGACTGATTTTTGTAATAAAATTACAGATATATCTAAAAACAGTACCATCATGGTTTTTTTTTTAGCTATCCATGGGCCATTGTTTCAACTTAGAAAAACAATTGAGGAAGAAAATACTGCTTTAAAACTGTAGAAACTAGCAATGGGATTATGGTAAAGGAAGTGTTAACTGTTAAAATGTAAATTGGTCTGTTCTCACTGAAAGCAACAAAATCCACTCAAGGTAGTTTATTTAACTTATTTATTTTGACAGTACCTTTGTTTGAACTCAGAGCCTCATGCTTGCCAGACAAATACTCTACTGCTTGAACTACACCTCTACCCTCATTGTAGGTAATTTAAACCCTATGAACTTAACTCAGCTATGAAGATACCTCCCATAATAATTGCTTCATCTTTCAGAAGCAATTTCCAAAACTGTGCTACAGAACTGGATTGTCAAGTTGCTACTGCCTGTGCCAGTTAGGAAACTGTTGAATGAGGAGTAAGGAAGCTATAGCCCTGGCTGCCAGCTCCAGGATTGCCATGTCTGCCACACTCATTCAAGTACACCTTCCCCTCCTAGGGAATTTGATGCAAATGAAGGGCTTGAGTTAGTGCATCTGATTGAGAAAAACCCACATGATGTGTAACACTCTTAACTGCAAAGGAATCTGGGAAATGCATTTATAGTTTTCTGGCCTTTACAATTCAGGAATACATACTACAAAGGAGTTGGAGTGGACCAAGTTAGTTTGCTGTACTTGTATTTAATTAAATCTCACTATCCACAAATAATTTTTGTCAAAGTGACAAAATAGAATTGAAGAATATATAGAAAGAGTTGAATAATCATTTTTTCTCAAGATAAACTTAGGAAATATTTTAATAGATTAAGTACATTTTAGTGGTGTTGTTTTTAGCTTTTTACAAGTCTGTCTTTGTCATATTTGGATTTTAAAAATCTAATTTTATATGACTGACATGAAGGGTAGATAATTTTGACAGTGTTGTAAAAAAAAAAAACTATATAGAGAAACTCACATAAGATCCTATTTACTCTCAGAAACTACCACCAGTGTCTCAGAATTGACTGGATTCTGGTGTGCTGGCTCAACAAATCTCATAAGTACCTTGATAGAAAGCATAATGGGAGTCCAAGAGGGACAGGCAAGATGGCAGCAGATTAGATTTGACTATGTGAGGAAATTCAGGTAACAAAAGAGAGACTATGAGAAACAAAGAGCATTGGGAATCACAAAAGAGGTGACAAAACAGCTTCAGCTTTCAAGAGATGGAGAATCAGACAAGAGAGAAAACAGTCACAAGCTCAGTCCACAGCTCCCTGGTAGAACGGGAGATACTGAAGAAGTTGCCTTCACAAGGTAAGCCAGACAACCTTGGTGACAGACTGGAAATTCTAGCTGGAGGATAACCCCACACGTTCCACAGGCCTTAAATCCAGTGCAGAATTTGGTGAGACAGTATCTATTCCAGTGTGGAAGGCTCGCTTTGTTAAAGAAAGAGATTTGATGCTCCTATTTTGGAAACAAGGCTTCATCTTGAGAGGGGGCCTATGAGGCTGAGCTACTCTAGGTATTTGAAGAGCAAGGAACAATCACAATTCAGGGAGTGTTGGGATACCCTCCTACAATGTCTGGGTAGGAGATCCAGCAGAGGAGGAGTGGGAAGGAAGAGAGTCTGACTGAGCTTCTGCTGAGAAGCTTTAAATAGCAGGGAAGTTGGGCAAGTGAAGAACACTGTGGTGGGAGGCTCTGCCCTCCCTGGCAAGGAGCAAATCGAATGCTTGAGGGTCATGGTGAAAACAGCACCAAGCCCATGACTGGCATAGTCCTTGGCCACCAGGATCTGCCTCCTAGCTATGTGTGTTGGTTGCCAGGTCTATCTGAGGGCCCCAAGCCCAAACCTACAAATCTTAGAATTTCTACAACCCTTCCCCATACGTAGGTAAACTTCTGGGTGGGTCCTACCAGTCTCCCCCTACCAGTGCAAAATTCAATGCTCTGTGGGCTCCCACTCCAGTGCATTCTGTGGATACACTTAGGCTTGATGTTTGTGGGGGCACAAACTGGGGAGCTTGTGGAAGAAATGGAAAGTGACCCAGCCAATAGACTGTAAAGTTTCCTGCATCTAGCATTTTATCCCTACACAGAGAAGGGAAATTTCTATAATGAAAACCCAGAAGCAGAGAAGTGACCCATCTATAAAACTCCGAGCAGTGCTGAGGATCAGCCAGCCGAGTCCACTAAGCATGTGAGTGAATACTTGGCTGCTGAACCATACCTCCTCAGTCCAGTGGTGAGAAAGAGCACCTCAACCCTGATACTACATTGTCCTGCCTGAACACGGAGAATACTTCAACCTTTTTTTTTGAATACTTGAAAAAAAATTTAAATGACACTATAGATCAAAGGGACTTAACAGACATGTACAGAATATACATTCTCAGCAACACAGGGAATGTTCTCCAAAATATGTAACATTTTAGGGTATAAAGCAAGTCTTAAGTACAAGAAAATTGAATTAACTTGTGCTAGCGCTTTTTTGAGTTTTTTGGTGGGACTGGGGTTTGAATCGGCACTTTGTGCTTGCAAAGCAGGTGCTCTACTGTTTGAGTCACACCTCCAGTCCATTTTGCTGTCGTTAGTTTGGAGATGGGGTCTTGTGAACTATTTGCCTGTGATAGCCTCAAACTGTGATCCTTTCAACCTCAGCCTACCAAGACTCCCAGGCATGAGCCACCATGCCCAGCAACTTCTTTATTTTATCAGAACACAATGGAATAAAACTAGAAGTCAATAGCAAGAGAAACTACAGCAAATATCCAAACACATGGAGACTGAAAACTACACTTTGGAGGAACAGTACTGGGATTTTAACTCAGGGTCTCCCACTTGAGTCACAACCCCAGCCCTGAACAATACACTATTGAATGATCAGTGGGTCATTAAAAAAAATTAGAGGGAAAATTTTTTTTAAATTGTAGAAGAAAATGAAAACACAATTTATCGGAACATTTGGGGAACAGCAAAGGCAATGGTAACAGCAAAGTTTTGGTTTCCTTAAAAAATTTCAGATCTCAAATAAATAACCTAACAATGCACCTCAAGCTCTTAGAAAAACAAGAAGCCAAACACATAGCAGTGTACAGAAAGAAATAATAAAGATCAGGTAGAAATTAACAAAATGAAGACTTAAAAAAAAGTACTAAGAATCAAGGAAACAAAGACTTGGTTCTTTCAGACTTTTTTTTTGTGGTACTGAGGTTTGAATTCAGGGCCTTGCACTTGCTAGGCAGGCACTCTACCACTTGAGCCACTTCTCTAGACCCCTTAGTTCTTTTAAAGATAAACATAATTAAGTCAAACTAACTTGAAGACGGAAAACACCGAATTAACACAAGTTCAGAAATGAGAAAGGGGGATATCCCAACAAATATTAATGATATTCAGAGGATCATTAGGGAATACTTTAAAAATCTATACTTAAATAAACTGAAAATCTAGCAGAAATGGCAAAATTTATCGATACAGATGACCTACCAAAATTGATTCAAGAGGATATAAACCACCTAAACAGATCTACAACAAGCAACAAAACAGTCAAAAAACAAAGCCCAGGACTGAAAGGATCTATTGCAGCAACTGCAGTCAAGGCAACAGCAAGCTGCATTTCCAATCCCACTGCAGAGACTCCCACCAGACTCTGTGTTGATGCAGAACTACTGTAAGTACTGGGAGCTTGAGAGAGGAAAGCTACATGAGGGCCCAAACCCCAGAAGCTTTCACCAGAGGTCTCATTTAGATCTCCAAACTCTCCGTCCTTCCCACCCTCACTGAAGAAGGAGCACAGGCTGTCAACAGACACCATCCCAAAGGCAGGTATCCAAGTATACTGCCATTTAGTGAACTGAAAGATTGGATAAGGAGGGGGGAAAATCAGCTGCTTAGAAGAGCATTAGAAAATTATTTTTATGTAAAGTTGTTTTTGTTGCTATTAGTTTGTGATGTAGTTTTTTTATACATTTGTATTTTCTTTTGTGTACATTTCAATTGAACAATTTTGCATTCTCTTTTCCCTGTTTTCTTTTAGAGCTGCCCTTCCTATTTCTCCTTCCCCATAACCTGCCTTCAGTAAGCAACTTTAAACCATTTATTCTCCCTCTTCCCATCACCTTCCATATATATATTTATTCCTCCTGTTAATAACCCCTTGCTAGTTCAGATTTCCCCTTTCAGTTTTCCCACCACAGTCTTTCACTACCAATACTTTTAGTGGGTAAATAGATTCCCAGATTATTGCAGTTTTATTGAGTTTGTATTTGCATATCTGTTCAAATCTATTTTCTCCGCTATCTCCACCATCTTAATGTCCTATCTATCCCACTCTGCTTTTTCATTAACCCCTTCTATTAGCTCAGCTCCCACCCCTTCCTGCCACATAAATCTTTATACCTCATATTTACTAGAGTTATCCCCCATCTCCCTCCCATCACTATCCTTATTTCCTTTAGTCCTCCAGGAACATGAAAATTCATCCTTGCTCTGATGGACAACTAAAGTGGAAAATAGCCATAATCCTCTTTAGGGATTGCTGTAATTTGAAGGCTGCAATTTAGCAACTTTGATAGCTTTAGCAGCTAAACCTCCTCTCCCTGTGCAGAATAGAGGATGACACCTATAATCTTTAGAACAAGAAGCTGAAGGGTTGACTATTGAACAACCCTCATGTCCTACCCTGCCCCCATCTAAAAACAAGGAAGCACACCAAAGCTCACCTACTATCCTGTCCTAAATAATTTCAGAAATCTTCAGTTAAAGGGATACAGGGGATTGGAACCTCCAACCAAAAATGACCCCAGCTGCATAAATCTCAACACAGAAACCTAAATCAACAAGGCAACAGCTCTCCCTCAAAAGCCATTTCCACCACTTACTAAACAATAGTAGAGAAGAGTAAATATCAATTATTGAATTAAAAGTAACAGAAGAATGATCAATAAACCCAAAGAGGAGACACATAAACTAGTAATTGAACTCAG